TGGCACTGGGCTGGTGTCTCTGAGACAGCTGTATTAGAGAAAACCAAACATCAGTGCCTGATTGTGGCACAACATCAGCCAAAACCCCACCACTCTGCTACACTCCGAGCTCCCAAGAAGGCCCGGCACCTCCTAACCCTGACCCTCTGCCATGGATGCAATGCATCTGCACCTGAAAGAAAGTTAGAACATATGTCAAACACCACCAGGATAACTCACAAGCTGCAAACACCTTATGCCAACCTAGGCAGAGCAACTAGAGCCCAAGTACAGCCCACATTACAAATTTCAACTCCCAAGGCTTGTCCCATTGCAGCAGGCTATGCGGCAGGGCAGAACAGCTCCGGCAGAAATGTGTGCAGACACCCGTGACACAGAACGTGACAAACAGGGGGACATGAAACACGACACGTCATGCTTGTGGTGAGGGCCTCGAGGGGAGAAGGCAAAAGGGACCCCAAAGACACACCAGGGAACACGGCACACCGGACAACAAGACACAGACCAGAGCTGTTCTGCACTGCCCGCCTGAAAGCTGCCATCAAAAGTAAAGCCTCTCCCTTTAGCTGTCCTAAGAGGCCCTTCGAAAAGATTGCTTTTCCCTCTGCTAATCTTTAAATCTGCCCCAAGAGCTCCCAACCCACTACTCTCCCATCGTCCCATCTCCAGGCTGTGGCCCCCGACTTATCTTTTGGATGATCGGTGATGTGGATCCACGTTGCACCTGAAATGAGTCTGCCTTGGAGGGCCCCGTGATGGCCTGTTAGCCTCTGGGACAGCTACAATAAAGAAAACCAAAACCAAAGTGTGAGTCCAGAGTTATGTGGGCCAAATCCCAGCAAGGCAGCTACTTGCCCTCTCCTGAGTGTTCCTGGCTTCTTCAGCCTACAGCTTCATCCTGATTCCAAGGCTGTGGCCTTTACTAGGAGTGGCACCTGGGTTCAAGAAAGGCAAAGTTAAATGGCATTGCTGCGAGTGCAGTGGATGACCTTGTGTGCTGTAAGACCTGGCAATGCCTCTGCTATGCTTCTGAGCAGCCTTGTATCTCAAAAAGACATGATTTCTCTGCCTCAAATAGACACAATTTGCTGCCCTCAAACCCCCCCTCCCCCATAACTCCTAACTGGATACCTGCTCACTCTCCCCTGCTAGTCACAATCCTCAATTCATCTGAAGCCTCAATCTGAAGCATCATCCTTGATATGGGGTAGATCCCCTTTGTGACATCACAAATCTGCTGAAAGAAGTGTTATGCTTGACACAAGCTGGAATTTTAGGGAGTTGCACTTCTCAAAAAAAGAAAAACAACAACCCAAAAAACCCCCCCAAACAACGCAAAATAAAACCCCAAAACAAACCCAAAAAAAAAAACCAACAACCCAAAACAAACCCAAAGAAAAAAACCAAAAACAAACCCAAAAAAAAAAAACAAAACAAACCCAAAAAAAAAAAAAACCCAAAACAAACCCAAAAAAAAAACCACCACAACCCCCCCCCAAAAAAAACCTCAAAAAATCTCCACACCAAAGAAAGCCAAAGAAACAACAACCAAAAAACAAGCCAAAAAAACAAAGTCCTCCAAAAAAACAAACCCCCCCAAGAAAACAGCAAAAAGAACCCCAAGAACAATACCAGAAATTGCAAATGAGCTTAACCACCCCTATACACAAAACTCAAAATCATGAGCTTAAGTATTACCTGTGTTCTATGCTGTTTTCTTCGCAGTATCTTCAAAGCCTGTGTTGCTTTAGATACCCAGAAACACCTGCTGGAAACAAGCTGAGATGAGCTGAAAGAGCCTCTTCACTGAAATGAGGGGAGAGCTCTTATCCCAGCACAGAGAAGGAATGAAACCCCTCAGCCACGGCTGGGGTTAATATACCCCTGATGGTGCCCGCCTCTCGTTCCCATGGCACCCAGGAAAAGGGAGGGGTCAAACCCCACCGGGCATAAAAGCCCTCAGAGCAGCTGCAGCTGTTTCGCTCCTCTGACTCAGATTCAAGGGGAGTAAAGGGCTTGTTATAGAAGAAAACTCTTCAGAAAAATAACAGTGTTTTCTTTTTTGCAGCAACTACTTGGAGCAAAAGGGCAGAAAACTGGTAAGATATAAAACTTTCTGTTTGGGCAGCATGACTAGATAAATTGGGTAATTTGCTGTTAGCTTACATAATTGTTCCTTAGTGGCTGCCAAGTCGTAGTTCATGTGTGACTAAGCCAGTGGAGAAGAATACTAATGATATGAATAGTCTAAGTTTCCTTGGGACCTCTAATTCAGGCTATCTACATTTTAAGTAAAAAATAAAAAAAAATAAAAGCCTCTCTAAAGGTAGTGTAAGGGTTAAGTGCATGCCAGGCTCACCCTTCTCTGAGATACTCAGTCCTATGGCATAGAAAGAAGTGCCCTGAAATGTAGTTTTAAACTCTTAAAATGCTGAAAAAGGCAGAGCTTCCTTCCAGGGAAGCCCTTAAAAAGAGGAAATGGGGCAGTTACCTCTACTGCAACCAATACAATGGCAAATAAATAGCTTCTGCCCTTTAATTTACTCTCCTTAAATATTGGGAAAAGAGGGGTTTTCCTCACTTTAAATCTCGCCAGTGATGAAAAAAGCGGGATTTTTACCTCAGTTCAAACCATTAAGATGGAGGGATAGCTGGCCTTCTCCCTCAATTTAGGCCTCAGGACAACAAAAAGAGGGTGGCTGCCCTTAATTCACACCCATAAGAAACATTGTCAAAGTTTTCCCCTTCTTTTTACACTGCCAAATAATAGAAAACGGTGACTCCCTGTCAATTAACACCCCTAGCACCATAGAAAAGGCAGGGATTCTTTCAACTGAGACCATTAAAATTGCAGGGGAAGCAGAGTCCCTCCAAGTTTGAGTACAAAAAATAATGGAAAAGGAAGCTTTTCCCCTTTTTTTCTAAACCCTTTTTCTCCTAATAACCCCTCTGCTTTCTGGGAGTGCTCTGGAGGGTCTGGGGGCTCTGGGGAGAGACTGGCACAGTAAAAGGGGAAAGCTGAAAGCCCTCTCCTGGAACCCCACATGCTGCCTGGCCTGCTCAGATGCTGCCCGGTGGCAAAAGGGCTCTTCCCTTGGCATTTTATCAAAGTGATGCTCTGTGCCCGGGTGGGTTCAGCTGCTCCCTAGTCCGTGCTGGATGCTCTGACCATAGCTCCTGGAGGGACACTTGGGATACCCCTGTTAGCCCCTCTGCCCTAGCAGCGCCCTGTGCAGGTGTGCCCGGGTAACCCTCTGAAAGCAGCTGGTCACACGGGGCGCTGCTAGACCTTGGACTGGGGGTTGAGGTGAAGAAAGGTCCTGTGAGGAGCTCCTTCCCCTACACAGCCCTTCGTCTGCCCCTTAAACCATGGGGTGCCAGACTTTCCTTTCTAAGGAAATTAACAGCCTTTTCTCTCTGTGTGCCCATGGCAGAAACTGCGATTCGGCCTCCAAAACTCCAGAGAACAATTTCTCCCAGACTGCAGCTGCCAACACCAAGAACTCTTGCTGCCCTCAGAGTGCCACGTGCCTCCTGCGAACAGACATCGACACGCAGCAGGGGTGAGTTTGGTTTTACAGGGAAGAGGGCCGGCATAGGATTTCTCCAGGAGCAAAGCTGCCCCCACCGAGAACTCGGGCTGCCCTGGCAGTGCCAAGCACCTCCTAGTGCAAACTGGCATCAGGAAACTCAGGGGGTGAGTTTTTCTGTGCAGAAGTTCTCCCAGACCAAACCTGAGAGCATGTAACCCTAACCACAACAACTTAACTGGGTCCAAGACTTACAACCTTCAGACTGGCAGTGTGGGACTCGAGCCGCTGTGCCACCGCTGGCCCCTTTCTAAAGCATTCCACTGCAGTCCTAAAACTCTGCCTTCTCAGAGGGTGTTTTCTCTGACCCTGACCATAATCTTCAAAATATGCTAAAGAATCATAAAATGGCTTTGAAAAAGCCCCAACAATACCCTAAAAAGTCCCAGGAGAGTCCCTTCCAAAATCCTCTAAATAGCTTTAAAAGTCCTGGGAAAAAAAACTCAAAAAGACATGCTCAGTCTCCAAACTCTACCTCTTGCTGTCTAGCCCACAGATGTCACCCCTACCTTTTTGCAGTGGGTCTGTTGTTCTTTGAAGGTTCTGTCATTGACCTGGTGTGTGAAGGTTGCTGTCTGGTCTCGCTGTTAGGGTTGCTGTGTTGCACTGCTGTTGGGAGAAAAGGCTGTTTTTGGGGGGGCTGGTCAGGCTGAGGTTAGGGCTGGGGTGAGGGGTGGTACAGCTGTACCCTGTACCCCTGATCTCCACTGGACTGTCCAGCCCTCAAGGCCTCTCCCTTTACCCTTCAACTGGTCCCTCTGCCCCCCAGCCCTCAGCTCCTGTGTGTGACCCTTAACCCCTCTCTTATCCCCAACCCCTTTCCCATCTCCTTCCCTTCCCCATCCCATCCTTTCCCCTATCCCCATTCCCTTTCCTCTAACATTCCATCCTCTCCCCATCCTTATTCCCCTCCCCTTTCCCCATTCCAATCCTCCTTCCCCATCCCGTCCCATCCCTCATCCCCTATCCCCATCCCATCCTCTCCCCTCTCCTCATCCCCGTTCTTATTCCCATCCCATCCTTTTCCCTTTTCCCTTTCCCCTTTCCTCTCCCCATCCCATCCCTATTCCCATCCCCTTTCCCGTCCCATCCTCTTTCCCTACTCCCCTTTATTTCTCCTCTCCCCATCCCCATCCCACCCCCTCCCTATTCCCATCCCCTTCCCTCCCCCCTCCTCTATCCCATCCCCATCCTCCCGCTGGCCCGGGCCGTGCTGCCGCCGGGCCGGCAGGGGCGGTGTGCGGGCCCCGCGGGCGCGGAGCGGGGGCCGCGGAGCGGGCGGAGGGCGCTGCCCGGGACCGCCCCGCTCCCTCTCAGACCGGGCCCGCTGCCCCCGGCCCGGGCAGCGCCGCGGCAGCGGCGGCGCAGCGAGGCCGGCGGGGCGGCCGGAGGATGCGGGCGGGGCGGGCACGCTGCCGTTCCCGGGTCGGGCAGCTAGAGAGCAGTGCAGGGAGCCCGAGCCCGGCGCTCCCTTCCTGTGGGCAAGGCCGACAGCGCAGCCGAGCGCCGGCCGAGGCCCGGCCCGGCCGCCCCCTCTGCGCTCGCCCATGGCGGAGACCAAGATCATTTACCACATCGACGAGGAGGAAACGCCGTACCTGGTGAAGCTGCCCGTGCCGCCGGAGAAAGTCACGCTGGCCGATTTCAAAAATGTCCTCAGCAACCGGCCCGTGCACAGCTACAAGTTCTTCTTCAAGTCCATGGACCAGGATTTCGGGTGAGCGGCCGCGCTCCGGGCGCGCCCCCGTCCTCGCTGCGCTCTGCGAGCCGCGGCCCGGGCTGGGCTCGCAGCATCCCCGGGGCACCTGCCGTGCTCGGCCCGGCCCGGCACCGCCGGCGCCGCGAACATGGCGGGCGCGCCGGGCCGCGAGCTCGGGTCTGCCGCGATCGCGTCCCGCCGTGCCCCGGGACCCCTCGGTGCCCACTCAGGAGAGCCCCGGGCCCGCCCGGAGCCGCCGCGGTGCCTCCGGGCCCGAGCTGGGGCGGCGGGGACGGGCGGCTGCAGTTGTCACCGCGCCCGGAGAGGCCGCGCAGCGCCCGGGCAGAGCGGGCGGGCCCAGGGTGAGCGCCCAGGGGTCCCGGGGAAGAGCGGGGGAACCGCGGGCAGCGCTGCCACCGCCGCTGTCACAGATCTGACGGGTCACATCCTCGGGGTTGGACAGGTGACAGGCGGCCCCGGTTGAACGGGTGTGAAATGGTCGGTGGGTAAATGGGGGACGAGTGGTCAGTGGTCAAACCGGCGTGAAATGGTTAGTGGTCAAATGAATGTCAAAGGGCTGGTGGTCAAATGAATGTCAAATAGGGGACAAGGGGTCAGTGGTTAAAAGAGTGTGGAATGGTCAGTGGTCACACGGGTGATAAGCGGTCAGTGGTCAAGTTAATGTCAAATGGGGGAGAAGGGGTCAGTGGTCAAAGAGGTGTGGAATGGTCAGATGGGCGATGACTGGTTGGTGGTCAAATGGGTGTGAAAGGGTCAGTGGTCAAAAAAACAGGGGACAAGGGGTCAGTGGTCAAATGGCTGACAAGTGGTCAGGGGTCAAACGGTCAGGGGCTGTGCTCAGACCACAGCTGTCAAATCCTCGAGGTCAGACAGGTGTCAGACGGTCCCTGGTCAAATGGGTATGTACTGGCCGCTGGTCAAATGAGTATGAACTGGTCAGTGGTCAAATGGGTGTCAGATGTTGGTGGTCAAATGGGTATGAACTGGTCAGTGGTCAGACAGGTTCAGGGGCTGTGCTCAGACCGTGACTGTCAAATCCACTGGGGCCAAACAGATGTTGGCCAGACACCTGGCCACACAGGTGTCACAGAGTCCCTGTTTGAACAGGTGACAATCGCCTGGTGGTCAGACAGCTCCAGGGGCTGTGAAACCCTCCATGGTCACATGGCTGAAGATGGTCAGTAGCCAAACAGGTGACAGATGGTCAATGCCCTCTTCCAAGGGCATAAGCTGAGCTGGACGAGAGCAGGGCTGGACTTTGAGATGACCTCTGTGGTGGCCAGAGGCAGGTGAGTGCTCGAGCCAGGGGTTTGACATCGTCCTGTGCCACCGGGCTTGGCGACAGCCAGAATAAAATAAACCAATGCAAGTCACTTTGACAGTTTGCCAGACAGTAACTTTCAAAACGTATTAATCCTTTTGTAGCAAATCACTTCTCTTTGTACTCGCATCTGTTGCTGGCAAGGCAATTTTGCACAGTTAAATGCCTTGCCAGGAATAAAAAAAATAAAAGTGGAGCAGGTTTGTGGGAAACTCGTGCGGACCTGACTCCAAAACCGCCGTGGTTGAGGTACAGGGTTGGTGTTTGGTGAGATAGATCACCCCAAGCATCCTTGGATGTGTTGTGCAGCTTCTTTTTTATCCCTGAGACCCAAGCCTTTCATGCTGATTGTGTTTTTCTCCTTGATGGAATATGGATATTGTTTGTTGACACGGATTTCTGATGTGGTGAGTTGTTAGTGTTGGCTTGTAACCACAGGAGTGTTCGTGGATTGACTTCTTGTTTTTCTGACTTGTGCAAACATTTTTTTTGAGGGGGGAAACAACCCCGCAAAATGTTTGTTTTCAAAAGAAATGTGATTATTGGTAAATTTCCCTCCTTCACCTCCCCGAGTGACAGGGACACGTTGTTGTCGTAGAAATTCAATGTTTGTGGTTTGATTTCACTAAAGGAGGTTGGGATTGTTCAGGCAGCTGCTGCATCGTTCCCAGTGCCACAGAAATTTGCAAGTAGGAAATATAAACTGTGCTGAGGCATCTCGAACACACGGGGATGTTTTGGTTTTTGACCAGGAAACAGAGTTTGTAACAAACCCTAGAGTGGATTTTGTTAATAGTCTGAAAATTGAGGTGAAACTTGTCTGTTATTCTTAGAAATGGACATGATGGAAGATGAAGGGCTGCGAGGACCAAGACCTGGAAATTCAGTCTCTATTATTTAATCAACAGCATTTGGTGACAATCCATGGCCTCAAAACGGCTCAGAGTGACTGTGATGTGGGACTCCTGAGCTTTGTTTGCATTTATTTTCTATGTCTTGTTCCTTTTGTGTTTGTGCCTCTCTGAACCCAAAATATTTGGGAAAATCAGAACAAAATTCTGAAATCGGAAGAAAATTAAGCAAAATCTTGGCTTAGTGAGTGTTAGTAGTAAATATGGGCTTTGTTTTCATCATCTTATCTGCAAACTGACTTTTCGTAGAATCATGGAATATCCTGAGCTGGGAGGGATTGTCCAGCCCCAGACACCCCAAAATCCCATCGTGGGAGCTCCTGGGGCTGGGACCATCCCCTGGGGCTGTGCCCAGAACCCGCTGGGGGAAAAACCAAAATCCCTCCCAACTCCCTTAGCCCAGCTCCATCCTTGTAATTGTTACAAACAGGCAATTCCAGCTGCTGCTGCCACAAACCATAACAGAGCTGTGGCTCTTGAATTTCTCCCTTCTGTGCCTGAAAATCTCCTCCAGAGCAGCTCTTGCCTGGAAGGGGAGCTGCAGGGATGTTTTGGGTGTCCTCCCCAATGGTGCCAAGCTGGGATTTGGCTTTGTCCCTTTAGGGCAGTCCCTAAAATCCTGAATTTTTTAACTGAAATGTGAAAAGCAGTGGTTGTGTTAGAAAAACAAATGCTTTCCTGCAGGATTGGAAACTGACTTTTCGTAGAAACATGGAATATCCTAAACTGGGAGGGATTATCCAGCCCAGAGATCCCAAAATCCCATCGTGGGAGCTCCTGGGCAGTGCCCAGAACCCTTTGGGGGAAGAACCAAAATCCCAAAATCCCTCCCAACTTCCTTGGCACAGCTCCATCCTTTTAATTGTTACAAACAGGCAATTCCAGCTGCTGTTGCCACAAACCATAACAGAGCTGTGGCTCTTGAATTTCTCCCTTCTGTGCCTGAAAATCTCCTTCAGAGCAGCTCTTGGCTGGAAGTGGAGCTGCAGGGACGTTTTGGGTGTCCCTGTGGTGTCCTCCCCAATGGCACCAAGCTGGGGTTTGGTTTGGTCCATAAATCCCTGACGTTTTTCACTGTGCAATGTGAAAAGCAGTGGTTGTGTTAGGAAAACAAATGTTTTCCTGCAGGATTGGAGGGAGCTGACTCCTTGCAATTCTGCACATGCTGTTGTAATTAAGGCCCAGCCTTTCCTGGATGCTGCAATAATGGAATAAATCCTGTGCTCACAAACCCTGCATGTGCTGAATGCTTTCCAGCTGGGATGGGATGGAGCTGGATCCTGCATGGAGCGTGGAATTCAATGGAATTCAAGCCCTGTGTTCTTTGCTCCTTGGAAGGTGCAGGAGGAGGTGTGGGAGGGTGACAGTCCCTTCTGAGCTTTGCTTACAGTTTAATTTAGAAATTAAATTATTAATTTGTTATAAATATATATATATAAAATTATATTAATTAAATTACACTATAAACTAATTTAATTTAAAATTTATTTAATTCAAATAATTAAATAAAATTATAATATATAATGTATATTGTATATGTTATATGTATTATATATTTATATATTATATAAATATATCTTTATATTATAAATTAAATAATTTAATTATTACATTTCAAGTTTAATATAATTTTTAAAATTTGTTGCCCTGCCACTTTCCCCTGTGCCAGTTCTGACCCACATAGGGATGGCCCTGCCTTTTCTCTGCTTTCCTCCTGCCTCCATCTGTACCATAATGCTGATTTTAAGGTGCAGCATGTCCGACGAAGTGCTTTTGTAGCTTCTGTTTTTATTCTGGTTGCTGAAAAACCAAGCAGGGATGTTCTGTAACAGCCTCACTGCTGTGACAGCATCCACCAGCAGTGAAATTTAGGAGAGGTGATGTTTGAGGAATGTTTTTCTAGACTAGGGACTGTGTCATCAGCTGATTTAATTAATTCCAGCCACTGATTCTTTCCTCACGGCGAAGCTCAGAGGTCATTTCCCATCAGTGGCACTGCTGATTCTCAGGTTACAGCCCCACAGAATTCTGTTAATTCTTTGATGATTAAAAAAATGACAGCTAATGAACACATCTAAAAATAAAGCTGCAGCTTGTGATGCAGCTTGGGCTCTGGTGGTGGACCAGTGACAGCTGTGTTCGATCCAGATGATTCATCAGGAATCTCTTGACCGATCCTGCAACAGGAATTCCTTTCTGCTTTGAAATATTTGATATTTCCAGAGCTTTGCTCGTAAAACACAATCAGCAGGAGCACAAAAGGATCAATGTGGAGGATCCAAGCAATTAAAGATGTTACATTTTCTGTAAATTTATTTATTTAATTAAACATATTTAATTTTATATTTAGTTTTCTGTAAGTTGATTTATTTAATTAAACAGATTTCATTTTCTGTACATTTATTTATTTAATTAAACATATTTCATTTTCTGTAAATGTATTTATTTAATTTTCTGGTTTGAAGTTTTGCTGTTCCAGTGTGGACAGCAGAGTTTCAGTGAAGAACTGAACCCTCCTAAAGACCTTTTCTGTCCAGAGTTGGATAAAAATTCCTGTTTGTTGTGGTTCCTGTGAGTGGGGCAGGAGGAAGAGCAGAGTTGTGTCTGTTCTGGCACCCTTTTGGATGAGGTTCAAATCCTCATTCTTTCCATTGTGTGCACTAATGCTCCTCTGATTATTCCTCTGCAGGGACTCCTCCAAGGAGTGGCTTTTTCAGCGTTCCTTTGGTATCAGACCAAGAACTCCCTTTCAATCTGCACTTAGA